ATCCTTTCTTTTTTTCCCCCTTTTTTGTTCTTTCGGTTTGTCATTTCTGTCATCTTTATTCATTTTTTCTTTGTTTTTGGTATTTCTTTGTTTTTAAATGTATTTAATGATTGATAACCATCCAGGGAGTTAGGCAGCGTATGTATGTTATTCTTCTTGTGGTTATTTCTGTGGAGAAACTGATTCTTGTTGGCTGAGATGAAGGGAAAGTTGCAGCCTTGTCATCTTTTGTCCTTAAATTCAGTAGTCGCATGCAACTGCTCATTTTTATGGGGAAAGGAAAGGAAAGGTTCTCCATGATGCACTGGGATACCACACCCCTGCCTTTTTATTCAGATTTAAACTAAGAACTTGTATAAAACACTTAAGTTTAAAGGAAGAAGGAAGGATGGGGAGAGCAACTGCTTTGGCTGCTGGGCAAGCAGCCAAATGGATATGGTAATAGAGAGGCCAATGGGAAAAGTCAGTGTTGTAGACAGACAACTCCAGCCCTACAGATCACTAACTTCACTTAGGCTCCTCCATAATCAGAATCTTCACATAGGAAGGCTTGTTCTGCTTTCCCTCAGAAAGCACTACTTTGCTGCTTGATCTCGCTTCAGCCTGTTTTCAACAGCAGGATACCACTACTGAGGTGCAGCCTTTACTGTAAAGACATGTCCTTCACAAATGGTGATCTCAACACTATGGCAAGGAAGGGTGCACAAATGATTTTTCTGTGAATCAACCCTGCACCAGTCTGCATGGTCCAGGGATCCCACTTCCTCTTTTAGATTATGATAATTGGCACAGTTTGAGATATTATGCAGATCTACTGTCACACATACAGAAACATCCTTGAAGAAAATATGTGAGAACCCTAGCTCAGGTAGCATGAAGACGAAACTCAGTATTGACCTGGGTTGACCCTCTTTAATGTAAAGAGATGGAATAGGAAATGCTGTCAGGCTTTCAAGATTCTGTTATACAGCCATATCAATGGAGCTCCAATATTTCTTGTGATGCTTGTTTCCTGAGCTAGAGTAACTTAAAGGGTTGACAGCTCTCTTCATGGATAATGTTATAGTAGTGCAGAATTTTGCACATCCCAATAGAGCTGTGTACAGCAATACCTTTAAAAATGTTCACATTTCTTTGGTAGCAATAGGAAAGCTTTATTAATTGTATATATATTCATATCCACATTTGTTCAATTAGGGATGTATCATCCCTTCTTTTTAAGCTATGAGAACTATTTTCCTAGAACCAACATAATAAATGACAGAATTATGTATAATGTGATTTTTGTATTGAACACAATAATAGGGCCAGCATATTGATAAATGGAAATATTTGCACATCTCCATTGAGATAAAGTCTGAAATCATAAATCTGTAAGTGTTTGTTTTAAAGCTTGAAGGATATGATAGAAAAAACGATAGATAAAAATAGCTGTTGTTATTTTTAGAAGCCTGAATTTTGGTCTGGTTTTTAAGCTATTGTTGTTTCATTCACATATGGATTGTAGGTAGTTCTTAATTTACAACTATTTGTTTAACATTCAAAATTACAACACTGAAAAAGTGATTTTATCGCAGCATCCCCATAGTCATGTGATCAAAATTTAGGCACTTGGCAAACAGCATGTATTTAAGATGATTCTAGCTTCTGAGATCATGTGATCACCATTTGTGACCTTCCTAGCTGGCTTCCAACAAGCAAAGTCAATGGGGAAAGCCAGATTCATTTAACAACCACATGATTCACTTAACAATTATAGAGATTCACTTAACACCCATGGCAAAATGGGTGTAAATTCAGGTACAACTCACTTAACAACCATCTTACTTAGCAATGGAAATGTTGGGCCAGTTGTGGTCATAAGTCAAGAATTACCTGTATTTAAGTCCCCCATTCTGATTCCAAAAATGAAATGTACAAATTATCTACAGTATATAGAGAAATGTTCTTTAAGCCAACTTTTGAAATGTAATGGAAATATGTACAGTACTTCCAATTGCTAATTGGTGCTGTTTGCTAACAGTGTAGTATTTATCAAAGAAACATATTTTTCTCTCCTTTCTGCAATTCGTCTACTCCCCAAATTTGCTTCAGAACATTGAGAACTCTTTGCAACAGATGGTAGGGACTGTTGGTGAGATAAAGAAAAAGTTTCATTTTATTTTTGTAGTACCATAGTTCTTAGTAACCGTTTTGATTTCTTAACACTTTGATGGCCTTCCTTGGTTAACTTATTAAGAATCTGTGTTTAATCTAAAATTTGGAATATAGCTTTTCAGTTTCAAGTATATATTTCTGGTCAGTGTGTTTTCTTTCTGATTCTGATCAAACAGGAACAGATTTATATTGAAGACAGATAATTATATAAATGAGTTCATGCATATCATCAGTTGGAATTACAATTCTTATAAATATGTGAATTACAGTTGAGAACTAGTGTAATATATATTAGTGATTAAGAGGAAGACAGATTTAAATTCGAGTCCATTCTGAGTGATAGATGCCCACCAAATGACTATGTACTATTTGTTATTTCATAGTCCAAAGCTATTTCACAGTTTGCACTACAGTATATACTATCTTGAGGTCATAGGAAAAAGGCAGAATATACTTAGAAGCATAGGCATGCAAATTTATGGAAGCTGTGCAGGAGACCCAAGGCCACACCCTTCTAGATTTGAGGGCTAGATAATTGTCATGCCAGTGCCTTGAGTACTGGTGGGTTAAATCCAGTTGTGGCCTTTGAGTATACCCCTGTGTGAGAGACTGGGGAATGAAAGCAGACTGATCTTCAATGAGAATGTCCTAGAGAATGGAATACAATGTCTAGGGTCAGTGGGAAAGTCTCAGGATATCATGTTTGTTTCCACTTTGATTTTGTCCCTTTGGGGAATAGAGAAAGGATTACGTGCCTTGGGTGCAATCTCCAAACATCTGGAGTGCCACTTGAACACATCAGGAATTAACAAAATCACCATCAGTCAGTTGCAAAAGGCAGCTTTACTTGGAACAGCTTACATCCTACAAGAAATCTGTATAACACCATCAAACATCCACATCTGCCCATCTAGGTGGATAAAAAGACCAAATCCAGTCTAAACATTGGCTGATTATATAACCAAACATGATAATATAATAAATATATTCCTTTTCCATTCAGTTCAGCATGTATCACATTTGAAATTTTGGTTAGCTGTGTTAAGCTTAATTGATTGTGAATTAATTAACACTCCAAAGAAGATGACTTTTTCATGAGATAATTAATCTTTATGATAAATTTAAATAGAGCAGCACAAGCTCAGGCAGATTTTCTAGATGTGCTTTTTGCAATTTAGACTAGGTTGACAGCCTTTTTTCATGTTAGATTAATTAGATGTCTAGAAATGTCTCTTTCTTATATTTATTTTGTCTTGGCAAAATACCGTTGTTATGACAGTAATATTTCACAGTCAAAAATGTTAATACTATCCATAAATTCAGCCCAGTGAGGAGCAAGAGATGCAATAAATCATTTTAAGTAATTGATGTTGATTGAATAAGATAAATGGTGCTTCAGGTAGTTATGACTTTATCATTTAACTTCATTGTAGCTGTTTAAAAATATTTTTTTAAAGTTAATGCAGCATTTTGGGAACTACAATGTCATGCCAATAAGGACTAAATAACAATGACACTAAACTGTTCCACTACTGTGTATACAATATCTTTTTAGTGAAAAGTCTTAATTAAAAGTGTTTTGAAACTTCAATTAATCCTTGCCTATGATATATACCTATCATTTTGTATGAATAGCTTAAGGACCTGAAGAAAATATGTTAGCACACACATAACAGTAGCATAATGCAAAATATAATTTGTTCAAGTGATATCCTCATAAATCTGTGAAACTAAAAATCTCCCATATTTGAACTCAAATATTTCAAGAGCTTAACATTGAACACTGTTTACATGTTTATGATCTATACCTTTTTTAAAAGTAAAGAATGCATGTTAATATCCAATATATATTCCTCATCTAATAAATTGGGAATATATTATCAGAGAATATACTGTTACCAATAAAGTTGTGCCTGGATGGAACTGAGTTCCTTGAAAATAATTGAAAAGTTCAAAAAAAATGAAGATTTATGAATCGGGTGTCTAGAAATAGTGGAAGTGAAGAAGGTCATTATAAAGACTATTGTCATTAGTAAATAATTTGGTATTACTTTTTGGGTTAACCTACTCTTCCATGGTTCCATTCATTATTCCATTTTTTAAAAAGTTAGATTTACTTAAGTTGGTTTATTGTTTTTGACTGTTATTTCACTACTACTTAATTAGTTCACTACTTAGTTCACTACTTAATCTTTTTCTATTTTATATCTTGTCTTAAGCCAAAGGGAATATTTTGTGTGTGTGTGTGTGTATATACTTCTTTCAATACAAGTTTTTAATTTTGTATATATATCACAAAATTAAAAACTTGTATTGAAAGAAGTATCCAGTTATTGCTGAAGACCAGACTCCAGGTAGAAGTGCTAGAATTCCCCAAAACAATTTAGCCAAGATGTGTGGCTCCTTTTCTAAGAAGTCATATTTTATTGATCATATCCTTGCAGATCTATAAGATTTTATGCTAATATAGTTTGATCAATTCATTGGTTATATTTTGTAATGGTAATTGAACTTCAGCATAAAGCAAAATTTAACACATAGCATTTGTTGATTTCTAATGGTATTTGATAGAAATTTTAATTTTAGAATCCAGATTTATATTTAGGTCATGTGTAAATCCAGGGGTCATGTGACTTTGTCCAAGGAAATTTAGCTCTTTTCTAAATTCTAGATTGATTTGAATAGAATCTTAAAGTTAGTATATTCTATATTTATTGGGAGACTGCCCAATACTCTGTAACTGAATGTTCTGATCAGTATGATAGTAAACAAAAAAATTAAAGAAGTTATTTCATAACCCAGATGATAATATTCATGGATACTTCTTATTCCTTGTTTTACAGGTTTTTCATTATTCTTATACAGCTTCATATGTGATATATAACATACAGACAAGGTAAGATAATGCTTGATAAATGTTGCTTTGAGCACTGAATGCTACAAATGTGTCCAAGTAAAGTGTTTACTTTTTTCAAGGGAAGTTTGGGAGTTAAATCCTCCAGAAGTAGAGGACTCAGTTTTACAGTATGCAGCATGGGGTGTGCAAGACCAGCAACTGGTAAGAAAAGATTCCATGTTTATTTTATCAGCTGATCAACTTTAAAAAGCTAAGAGTAAGATAAAATCTAAAGGAAATAGATTTTCTTATTTGGGATTTTTAAGTAATTATTCTTTGATTTTGTTTTCTACTTGATTTAAAATTTCTTATACAAATGAGCAAACTAATCATAGGTTACTTAACAAATTCTTGAGTGATTTATTGATGGATCAATTTATTGATGAATATAGCTGTCCCACTCATAGCAATGACTCTGGGTGTTATATCAAATTAAAACCAAATAATTAAACTAACCCCCCCCCCAAAAAAAAACATATGAAGAATAGTTCTTTACTGCTATCATGGGGTAACATGATAGCAGTATTCCAGTATTTGAGGGGCTGTCACAAAGATGAGGAGGTCAACTTATTTTCCAAAGCACCAGAAGGCAAGAGAAGAAACAATGGAAGGAAACTAATCAAAGAATCATCTTGTAATTAAGGAGAAACTTCCTAACAGTGAGGACAACTAATCAGCGGAACAGCTTGCCTTCAGAAGTTAGGTGCTTCATCACTGAAGGTTTTAAAGAAAAGATTGGACAACCACCTATCTGAAATGGTATAGGGTCTCCTGCCTGAGCAAGGGGTTGGACTAGAAGACCTCTAAGCTCCCTTCCAGCTCTATTCTGATTGACTAACAGGGCTCTGTATAGAGTTTAGTGGTCTCTGAACTTGGTTGTTTGCTTGAGGATGTTTTGTTACCATATTAGGTAATATCTTCAGTGCCAGAAGAGAATGGGGTTTGCTTTCTATTTGTATACAGTAGCTTGCTGAATATCAGTGTGGCGGGGATGTTGCTTTCTTTTTGATCCTTTACTAGGGTGTCATTTACTGCTTGACTGTTTACCTGAGTTGTTAGTTCCTTGATTAGGAATATATATTAGGAGCATACATTACATTAGGAAAATACATCAGAAGCATACCAACATGTAACATAGTTAAAGATGTTACAAAAAAGTTTAGACATCTCACCTAAGGGAGTGACTGGTCTATCAATTCCCTGCCACAGTGTCTCCAGAAAATCAAAAACTTAAAAATAGAAGATACTATGTAGGATAACAGGGAGAAGACTAGCAGCATGCATTCATCAATACCAACTAACAGTCAGAAGACACAATAAAAATGCCTTAATTTCACAATAGATGAACAGACTTTTAACTGGGAAACTGTGAGCATTCTAGACCAAGCTAAATTCAAAATCACTAAGGAATTCCTGGAAGCCAGGAATCCACACCCAGATAAGTACTGATTAACACCAGGATTAACATCAGACAAATAATCAAGCAATAAATAACAGTCTAATAAAGGAGAAAACAACACAGACAGGGCATCTACTGTATAGAAACTAAGAGCAAGCTCTGCTCCTTCCTAGCATTGAAGATATTGCCTAGTCTGATAATGAAATGTCTGTAATCAAATATCCAAGCTGAGAGAGCACCAAGTAATCCAAAATTCAGTCTTGAGTGACTTACTGTATACCATGATGATATCTGAGTTTAAGTCATGTGTATATTGATAATAACACAGTTCAAATGGTCTGATAATCTTTCCCATAATTTCACAGAGATAACATGAGGACAAGATGAATTAATGAATCAGGATCGTTTTTGAAAGTGAGTTCTTGTTAAGAATTGGAATTCCAGTTAAGTGGTATTTCACAAGGGAAGAAAAAAAAATCATTTTTTTGGCCAGGCAATCCAGAAAAATACTATAGCTAGTGACATCAAATATTCCTGAGAATTCCTGCAGAAACAATAGGACATACATTTTATTAAAAAAAACATAAAGAGAAAACAAAAATAAATTCGTAGCTTTTAAATATAAGAGGAACTCAGTCTTGAAATTCAGATTCTTGGTATTTAACTCTTTGAAAAAATGCATGATTCATTGTACTTTTTGGTCATAATATAGTAACAAAGTATATATACAAGTTCCTCTGTGGCAGAAAATTCTGCTAACAGTCCATGAAATCAAATATTTTAAGGATATGTTGATTCATCTGTTGTTAATCAAGTTGGAATGAATACTTAAATGCTAATGGTAAGAATACATCTCGCTAAATAAGGGCAAAAAAGCAAAGCTGAACTGAGAAGTAATTGCATCCATCTGGAACATGACTTGTAATTTTTGAATAATTAACTATATCAATTTATCAATACATTCCAGCATAACAACAAAATGGAAGGCAAGAAATATTAGAATTATACACAGAGCAAGGCACTGTACTGTTTATCAAAAAAGCAAAATAGTTATAAATGCTTCAAAAGGTGTATTTTCCATAAGTTTGAATGTTTATTTTTCTGTGCAAAATTAATAGGCTACAGCAGTACACATATATAATAATAATTACATTATTAATGGTAGTTAGCATTTCTTCAACGTAAACCCTTTAAAAACAATGGTAATATTCTTTAATAAAGGAATATTAGAAACAAGGAATATTTTAACTAATGTTCATATATAGAATGCTAAGCTCATATTTTCAGTGTTCAAAATCAATAGAAATGGTTGCCCTAGTTGTAATAAAAAATAATAATTTGTGAGGTTGTAGTGGTCCATATCTCCAGTATTTTGCATTCATTTTGGTTAGTTGATTAATGATAACTTATCATATCAAATGTCATAATGTGTCCCATGAAGAAGTAATTGATTGAACAATGCAGACAATTATATATACACTTTGTTGAAAATTGGAGTTTGGCATAGAGAAATCTGTATTATTCAGTTCCTCATTTGTGCTGCAAAATGTATTATCACATTATTAATCAAGGAAGTTTTCATCTAATTATTAGCATAATAGATATGAATATTACATACCATAGTCATTAATATTTGTATGACCCTTCTGATGCATACCAGCATAGATTATCATCTATGTATAAAAAAATAATAAGTGAAATACAGGAATTCAGTTCCTTTACAAGCATGTGTAAAACCAAAATATTGTTCCAGTGGCTTATTAGTAAAAAGAAAACAGCATTTAATGTATATGCAAGATTGTATATTTTATATGTTAGAAGATGTAGGAGAATTATTCCAATTTTGAGGCATAAAAATTATTCTTATCCTTCTTACTATATGTTGAACAATTTCTCTGTAAGTTAAAACAGTAGATCTGTCCCTTTATAAAAATCTGATGAAATTACAAACCTACGAAGACTGACATGTTTATACTACTAATTGTTAGCAAGACAGACTAATTACAACAATGATTAGAGCTCTAATTAGAGGCTTTAATCATTGACATCTGAAAGAGAGGAATTGGGTAGATAAATGGTGATACATACATCATCACACCACAACACAAGATACATATGTTACATGCTTCTGTGCAGCATCACAATCCATCCACAAAAGATCAAGATTTGTATCATGACACCATAACACAAGTTTTTGCTCATTGTGGCCTGTATCAGTGTATCAAACACCTGTAGGCTAGAGGAATGATGGGGAAGGGGTCTGAATAAAATAAAATACCTCTCCTTAGTGTGTGTGTGTGTGTGTGTGTGTGTGTATAGTCCCTTCTCATCCCTATAGTAGAGGACCCTGAATCTCAAGTCCTCTACCAGAGGCCTTGAAGTCTGAGGGTTCTGTGCAGGATCTTAGCTGTTTGTAGCACTTCTCTCTTCTGAACAGAGAGCTCTGATGTGGTTCCTGGTTCCCAGTTTAGGAAGCACAGCAGTGACTGTTCCTACCACCACTCTGGGTCCACTTTGGCTTTTATTTTCCATATCCTCTCCAGTTCCTCCATCAGGCTCTGATACTTCTGCAGCTTTTTTTTATTCTTTCCTGATGTTGTATAACTTGGCACCACTACATCTATCACTGCTGTCTGTATGTGTGCAAATTTTTATCAGATTGTTGTTGTTTTTTTAATCAGTCCTTAAAATTAAGGGTCCTTGCTGCTCTCTGAGCTTGCTTGTTTTCTTGCAGACGTGACATCCTGCTTCTTGCCTTGAGAGATATATAGTAAACTCTTGACTTCACAAACTTAGAAGGGTAGAAAAGCTATCCAGGAAAACTGTATATCCATTATTATTACTTTATGTAGGTAAATATTATTACTTTGCTCCAACAACATTAAATAAAGAAGAGTGATGACCTATGCCTGTTTTCTTTTAGTATCCTTCTTACGTATACAAGCAATGTCATTTCTTCTTTATTTTTCATTCTCTGATTAATAAAAAGTGTTATCTTCTGGCTGAAAATGTCTAATCCCAATCCATCACAATTCAGTGACCCCTAAAATGTCAAGCTTTACTACTTGTATACCAGTGAATGCTTGTAAATTGAATATAGAAGGGGATTATTGCTCTGTCCCTTTGTATACCATGAAAAGCTGTTCAGAAGAGTTGGAAATCATCAGAATAGGGGATAGCAGCATGTAGAATGCAATACAGAAGAAAGAAAGTTAGCCCAGATTCAGTGGATATCTACTGAAAGCTTCCATTTCCATTTTCCTTTTAGCAATTCAGCTAAAACAATATGAAATTGTTTTCATATTTCAGCTCTCCATTCCATGTCACTCTAGAACAGTGGTTCTCAACCTTTTCAATGCCGCGACCCCCAACCAGTCGTAAGTTGAGGACTACTCAACTGGTCGTAAGTCGAGGACTACTCAACTGGTGCAGCACTGTTTGCAGAATGGGACTTTTGGCGGGCTCAGCAGGGCAGAGACAGCCTGGACAATTCCTATTGGCTTTTGAAAGCTAATAGAATTAGACTCTATTCAAGAGAGTCTATTCTATTGGCTTTCCAAAGCCAATAGAATAAAAGGGAGTAGCACAGCTAAGGAAAAGGGGTAAAAAAATGGCGGACTGCGTTGTTTGGTGACCCCCATGAAATGGTCGTTCGACCCCAAATGGGGTCCCGACCCACAGATTGAGAACCACTGCTCTAGAAAATTGAAGAACCTTAAGAGAAGCTTGGGGATGGGTTGGAGAAGAGGTGTAGGAAATTGCT